CACTTGGTAGCCCAGGCTGGCCTCAAACTCACAGAGATCCGCCTGCCTCTGCCTCCCAAGTGCTGGGATTAAAGGCGTGCGCCAACACCACCCGGCTTTGTTTGTTTTGTTTTCGAGACAGGGTTTCTCTGTGTAGCTTTGGTGCCTGTCCTGGATCTCCCTCTGTAGCCCAGGCTGGTCCGGAACTCACAGAGATCTGCCTGCCTCTGCCTCCCGAGAGCTGGGATTAAAGGCGTGGGCCACCGCTGCCTGGTCCATTCTGAGTTTCTTTGTCTTCTTTTAACATCAGGTTGCTTTGCTTTGGATGGCAGAGGATTCTTTTTAAGTTTTCTGGGAGGCAAGTTTTATTTGGGGGTGGGAGTCGGAGTACCACAGATTGAAGCCAGGATTTTGGACATGGTAGGCAAGTGTTCTACCTTTCATCTGTACCCCACTGCCCCCAAGTTCTCAGTTAAAACTTTACATGCCTTTAATTCCAGCACTTGGGAGGCAGAGGTAGGGGAGTCTCTGTGGGATCAAGGCTAGCCTGGTCTACATAGTGAATTCCAGCCCGGTGATGGCTACATAGTGAGACCTTGTCTTTAAAACAACAACAACAAAAAAAAAAACAACAAAAAAAAAACCTTTAATACTTTTTTGTCTTCTTCAGAAAAAAAAAATGTGTTTTTAATTCTCCATTATTAAAACTTTCATTTATATGAACATTTTAATGTCCAGCACATAGTAACTACATATTTATGGGGTACATTGTGATAATTTAACCCAAGTATGCCATGTGTGATGGCCAAATCAGTGTAACATGTATAACATGTATACATGTATAACATTGTAAGCCAGACTCCCCCCCTCCAGCCCTACAGTTCATTACTCACTTCTCTGCTCATCTCACTCTCCATGGCAACTCTGTTCTCCAATGTCCCTGAGTTTGCTTTAGGGCACACCTGTTGGGACTGCTCCCACAGGTCTGGGCTCCTGAGCTTTTCCCGCACTGCACTTTAAACCGCTTACTGCTCACCCCTGTGGTTTTTGTTAAATGAAGGTAAGTCCCATGGCAGCTCCAATTTCTAATTGAAGACATTCCTAGTGTGTGACACCCAGCACACAGTTCTTGTAGACCAGGGAAAGGAAGGGAAAGGAGAAAACCCAGTGCGCAATCCCAGCGCTTCGGGACACCTGCAGTGACTGTCTCCTGACCTGTAAGAACATAAAACAGTATCTCTCCATTCCAGTGAGATCACGCCACTTGGACATGTGAGCTTCTGTGATCTGTTATCTATCAAAAACATGGAGCAGGAGTGTGTGTGTGTGTGTGTGTGTGTGTGTGTGTGTGTGTGTGTGTGTGAGAGAGAGAGAGCGCAAGAGAGCACATGCACACCATATGGTGAAGTTAATTTGGGGGTGGAGGGGGTCTCTTCTCTCACCATATGGAAAGTTTGGTCTCAGGAATTGAACTCGGGTCACCAGGGTTGTCAGCCAGGGCCTTTACCCACTGAGCCGTCCTGAAGGCCCCAAGAACTGACTCTTGAAGGTTGTCCTCTGTGCTGCAGCAGTGTATATACATTAAAAACTAGAGTGCAAGGTTTCTACTTGAGAGGGAGAATTCCCATTTCTCGAGTGTCTTAGAGCTGCGTTGGGAGCTTTAAAAGATACTGACACCAGTCTTCAGCCCAGGCGTAACCCAACTGCGTTGCTCTGAGGTTCGAACCCCCACCTTGTTAAAGGACGTCCCGGCTGCTCCTGCTGGCCCAGGATGTGCAGTAGATTGGAGCCAGTTCTGTTGAGGGTTTTCTGTGATAGATAGGCTCATCTATCACACATCTGTTCCCTTTTCCTGCCAAGGAAATGCTGAGCCTGCCCAGCAAGGAACATGCTTTTGTTAAAATCCACTAATTAGCTAACTGCTTCCCCAGGTAGTTGCAGGATCTTGTGTACTGACAGCCATTAGCATGGTTTGGATCTGCTGACTAGAATGACAAAGCACTCTTAATTGGTTAGGGGTTTGTTTGTTTTAAATATTGACTTCAAGAGGTCCTAGTCATCTGTGTATTTTCTGTTTACTGTGCTTACTTACTTTAAAAATTTTTGGTCTGAGGTTTATGTGTCTGAATGTGTACCACATGAGAGCCCGGGAGTCACAGATGGCTCTGAGCCACCATGTAGGTCCTCTGTAAAAGCAACAAGTTCCCTTAACTGCTAAGCCATCTCCAGCCCCTACTTTGCATGGTTTCTTTAGTGGAACTGCTGGGTCCTGTCAGTATATAGTTTCTCAAAGAGGGGTCTTTCCCCATTTTAGAACTGGCTGTGTAGCCTTAGACTGGCCTCAAACTGAAGATCTACTTAAGCCTCTTGAGCGTTGGGATTAT